TAGGCTTGCGCTTTTCTGGTCCACTGTCCATGAAGGTATGGGAATAGCACTTTATTTTTTTATTTTTTAAAGATTATTTATTTGTTTATTTGACACAGAGAGAGAGAGCACAAGCAGAGGGAACAGGAGAGGGAGAAGCAGTCTCCCAGCTGAGCAGGGAGCTCGATGTGGGGCTCGATCCCAGGACCCTAGGATCATGACCTGAGCCGAAGGCAGAGACTTAACCAACTGAACCACCCAGGCATCCCTGGGAATAACATTTTAAATGCAGAAGATATTAGTTCTCTGCTTAAAAGCTATTGTTGATTCCCTCCGTGATAAACTCCCAGCTCTTAGGCATAACCTACAAGTCCCCTCCTGGTGCTTGCATCTTGAAGCCTACCTTTATTCTCCTGAAATAGACTCAGGCTTTTCTCAGCCCCTTCTCTCTGCTTGGACTGTACTTACTCACTTCCCTTAGCTTCCTCTTCCAGTCTCTGCTTAGTGATCTCCTCTGGAAAGTCTTCTCTGACCTTCCGATGCCCTCTTGGTTCTGGCATGGCCCTTTGCTCGGTGCTCTCCTGGTTCCTTCGCACTTTCCCTTACTGCTCCTCACGTTTAAATGACAGTATTAAGTTTCTTAAGCACTGAGAATGTCCAGCCAGCACAGACACTGTGTCCTTCTTTTTACCTCCTTGGTGGGCAACACAGGGCTGGGCATGGAGTCCATCTTTAAATGCGGGTTGAACTCAAATGAAACAAGCGGGGGGATAAGCCTTGATCAGCAGCCTTTGAACTGTCTGGCAAATTTGTTTTCAGCAAAGGCTTGTGGAAGCTTAGCTAGATTTAGGTAAATGCATATATATCATGTCTTTATGGGGTTCTCAGATTTTGCAGAGGCTTCTGAAAGGAGATCTTTTTATATGTATAAGCATAACAGCCGTGCCCGTTATTAAGGAAAAAGCAGCTAGTGCTAATGGCATCAGTTTACTTTATATTCTTTCCACAAGTGTGTTACTCTAAGAAAGTGCAGCGTGTCATCAGTGGGAGTTTCATTGTAATTTTATTGAACATAATGACATCACAACTAATAAACCTACCACATGGTGACAAAACATCACTCAGCAAAGTCTGATGCTCGTAAGTGTAGGAAAAGTGCACCCCTTTTGGTATGACTAGTTTTCTTATTAAAAAAATAAGCTGTGCAAAGGGAGAATAATGCTTTAAGAGGATGTTGCCAAATGGGTAAAACAGAGCTACTATTTAGTTTTAGTCTGTCAATGCAATCATTCTTGGGGGATGAACAGGTAATGCTTTTAGCTGGCACCTCATAAAATTCTGAACTCAGTATTTTGTTATTTTTTATGGCTTTGTACAGCCGTGTGATTTTAGTGTGGCTTAACTTTGGACTATTCATCTGCAGCAAAAGCAAAAGGTACCTGGAGCCTTGATTGCTGGCTGAAAGTGGCGTCTTTGTCTCCTCTCCCTGGGGACCAGGCCTGGGCAAAAGGCTTCCCTTCTTTGTGTTTATTTTTCAACCCAATGGAGTGTAAGACCCATGAGGGTCTTATTTCATTATAATTTTATTGAACATAATGACATCACAGCTAACAAATCTGCCAGGTGGTGACCAAATACTACTCAGCAAAACGTTGGTCTTCATAAACGTGTGAATTTTCATTTCGCTCTAATAGAATGTAAGATCCGTGAGGCTAGTGAATGTTGTCAGTTTTAGCCAAGTCAGTATATCTTAAGCATTTAATGTGGTACCTGGTATAAAAATATTAGTTGAAAGGATGAGTAAACGAAGCCCTGTGGGCCTGGAACTACTCCCTGTCAACACATAAATTGGTGCAGTTTGAGTTTCTAGGGCATTTAAAATAGCAGCTCTGTCTTCAAGTTCTAAACTAAAGGCTTGGTTCCTGGGAAAGAAGTACTGGGCATCGATCAGATGGGCATTGTATTTTGGGGCCCTGAATTCACTGTCAAAGTCACTTTCCTCTGTTTCTATAGGAAAGTATGAGTAGACGGCTCTATACCAGCCCAGAAATATGGTGCACTTCTGTGCTTGAGCCCTACAAAGAAGTTTGGGGGAAAGATTTTATAAATCCTCTTTCCCATGTCGCATGTGCTTCCATTCACAGTGCTGCCCTTTCTTTTTCCTCAGCAACGCAGAGCTAAGCCTCCTCTAAGACAATTTCCACCTTCTGTTGAAAGTAGAGCGTTGGGGGGTGCCTGGGTGGCTCAGTTGGTTAAGCGTCTGCCTTCGGCTCAGGTCATGATCCCAGGGTCCTGTGATCGAGCCCCGCATCGGGCTCCCTGCTCCGCGGGAAACCTGCTTCTCCCTCTCCCTTTGCCTGCTCCTGTTCTCTCACTATCTCTGTCTCTCTCGCAAATAAATAAATAAATAAATGAAATCTTTTAAAAAAAAGTGTTTAAAAAAAAAAAAGTAGAGTGTTAGGGAACGGGCCCCCACATCTCAGGTCAGGCCCTCGCTGCCCGGCTGAGGGGAGTGTGGGGAGTGTTTTTGAGTTCTGATGGTGCAGGCTGGGGTGTGGCACGGGATGTTACAAGAAGCTTTTTCCCATGGATTCTTTTTGGTTTGGGAGGTGGGATGCATTCCACCTCTGGGAGTGGGTACAGTCCAGACTTCCTTCCTGGTTTTTCATAAGACCAACATCAGGCAGCCAGTGGGAAAGGAGTGATTTTTTGAGGTTATTCACAAACTGTGGCATTGCCGGTTGAAATACAAGTTGGTTATTGGAGAACATGCCTTGGCGTTTGCTCTGCAGTTTGGGATATCTGTAAACCTTTGTGATCCACGTGTTCACTTTTTTTTTTTTTTATTGTTTTGGGAAATAGGATGAGGTGTAGTACTCAAAGGAGGGACTGCAGTTTAGAAACCCAGGCTTAAAGAACTCAATGTTTTTTTCAGTTCTGGCTCACAGATGCAGAGATTTGAATTTCCCTGTCCTGTCTCAGGGTGAGATGTGGGTCAGAAGATTGGAGTTCCAGGCTCCTGGAGCTGGCTAGCTGGGTGCTCTGGGGCAGGTCACACTTGAACTGTCCCAGCTATACTTTCTCCCCTGTTCATTGGGATGGGGACACTGACTGACCCCTCCATTTTTTTTTTTTAAAGATTTATTTATCAGAGAGAGAGAGAGAGGGGATAAGCAGAAGGGGCAGGGAGAGGAAGTATCTCAAGCAGACTGTGCACTGAGCATGGAGCCTAATGTGGGGCTCGATCTCACGACCCTGAGATCACGACCTGAGCTGAAACCAAGAGTTGGATGTGTAACCGACTGTGCCACCCCAGTGCTCCTGACCCCTCCGATTTGCTGTACAACTTAAAATAAGACCACGCATGAAGAAAACCTAAAAGTCGTGTGTGAGATAGTGTTACCCTAAGGGCCATGTGTCTCACTTCCTTTCCCCTGGAGAGGAAAATTACAGTTGTGTTTTGCTGCTGATGCTCTTTTTCTTCTTTGAGCTGGCAGAAAACATAGAACCACACGTGCAGGGTACTTTTCATAAGGACCTCTTGGCATTCATTTGTGCAATTCTCCATCTGTTTTCTGTCTCTGTCTTCATTTTCCCTTTGCTCTTCTTTCTGATTTATGCCTTCTGGCTGGATGACAGGTACTTGATGTAAGAAGCCTTAAATTCTTCTTGGAACAAGCGATTAGAAGAAGAACCAGCCAAACAAATAAATATTGCCACACCAATTCCCTTTCCTGTCCTCTAGGGTTTAGGGTAAGGCTGAACACAGGCCCGTTCCTCTGTGTGGCACTCAGCTCTGGGCGTACTGCTTCCTCCGCAATGCCGGCCCAAGTGTGAATGCCCCTCTCTTTCAGAGACTGCTTCCTGGGGGAGGAGATAAGTTTTGTCAGCTCCTGGACTAAAAATAACTTACAATTCTTAGCTGATACCATTTAGAATCAACAGGTTTTTGTTTTTTTTTTTAAAGGTTTTATTTATTTATTTTAGAGAAAGAGAGAGAGAGCCAACACGAGCGGGAGGGGCAAAGGGAGAGGGAAAGAGAGACTCTCAAGCAGACTCCATACTGAGTGGGGAACCCACTGCGGGGCTGGATCCCAGGACTGAGATCATGACCTGAGCCGAAACCAAGAGTCAGACACTTAACCGACTGTGCCACCCAGGCGCCCCTAGAATTCACAGGTTTTATAGGAAAAATGCAGACAGTCTTCATTTGTGTCAAAACTGGTCATTTGTAACGAACGAAGTTTTTCTCTATGACATCAGGGTGTGTTTAAGGAAAGTGTTTTATTGCCTCAAGGCAGGTTCTTTTACACAAATGTATTTTTCATCATCCTTTAGAGTGCTCTTGTTTGGGACAAAGTTCTGGGTCCTATCCAGAAGTAAGAAATAGAGGCAGGGCCCTGTAGAACAAATGTTAACATATTTCCCCCAAATGTTAACATTTTAAATATTGTTAATGTTTTATCATAATTATTTCATTTGCATTTCTGTGGTACTAAATGGTAAATAAGTGTGATTTTGTTTTCGAAAAATCATATTGGTGTAAACATTCTTTTCAAGGGTAATTTTGTTAGCTTACACTTATTCTCTAAATTGAAAGTATGGTACAGATGGATGATCTGTAAACAAGATTTAATTTATTGATTGGTCGATAGCAAATTATTGGTCAGTCTGAGATGTAAACCCTGTCCTTGTCTCCTGAGCAGTGCTAAGTGTAAGTCTCAAGGAGATAGGTCCTCTGTGTCTTCTTTGTCTACTCCTTTACCTGAAACACACAAGAAGTTGATGATATGCAATATTACCAAGTATTTCAGAGTTTTTGAACTTTACTGTGTCAGTATGATAGTGTGAATGCTTCCCACAGTTAGAATATATTTCTCATTTTGGCTATATGAATTTAATCTTTAGAGCTCACAAGAGCTTTCTGACAAAAAACGTCCCCCATGTTTATTCTACAGTATTCTACTGTACTGATGAATATGTTTTCTGTTAATTAAACAGAACTTACTTTCTTTTTTCAGTTCTGTCAGGAGGTCCATTGCCTCAAGGGCATGAATTTGAACTGTATGAAGTTAGATTTCATTGGGGGAGAGAAAACCAGCGTGGTTCTGAGCACACAGTTAATTTCAAAGCTTTTCCCATGGAGGTAAGAATAACAAATCATCTTGTAAAAATCTTACTGTTTATGTAAAGTATTCAGCGATTTACTGAGAATGGTTGAGTTTAGAAGTAGGTATATAGCATTTAAATTTTATCAATTTATATTAAAGTAATAAAGTGCTTAAGGAAATGTATGCTTTGGCAGCAAATGACACTTCCCATTGACTTTGGTGAGCTTGAAGAATGCACACGGGCGATTGGCCATAAAGGTAAACTACACTATTAAGTTGCATTTCAGTATTGTTACTGTTCTAAAAATTCTGCTGCCTCTGCAAATTCAGTAGGTCATTTTTTTTTTAAAGATTTATTTATGTATTTATTTATTTATTTGATACAGAGAGAGAGACAGCGAGAGAGGGAACACAAGCAGGGGTAGTGAGAGAGGGAGAAGCAGGCTTCCCGCCGAGTGGGGAGCCCGATGCAGGGCTCAATCCCAGGACCCTGAGATCATGACCTGAGCCGAAGGCAGTCGCTTAACCAGTTGAGCCACCCAGGCGCCCCATCAGTAGGTCATTTTTGTAGATGCTATGAATAGGTGATAAACTGAAAACCAATAACTTTTGGAGAAATCTCAACATTAGTCAGAAGTTTAGTTTAGCTCTGATTAAAATTGGCAAGTTGGTTTTATTCACCCCAGGCAATTAGAGAGAGAGAGGGAAGGAGATTTTTAAAGAGTCATTCTTTTGTCTTCACTTACCTTCTTAGTCAATTCCTACTCTTTCTTCAATACCTAGTTGAAGTATCCTTTCTTCCATGGGACTTTTTCTGAGTCCCTTCCCTAAGCAGAATTAATTGCTCCCTCTTCTGTGTGCCCAGCATACTTGACAGATTGTTGCCATGGCACTCATGGATTGTAACCTTTAATGTCTACAGTGTCTCTTTCACTGATCCTGTGGGTTCCAGTTATGGACCAAAGTGTTGGTGCTTCTCCCCCTTCCCCCCCAGTCGTATGTTGAATATGATGGTATTAGGAGGTGGGGCCTTTGGGATGTAATTAGGTTTAGATGAGGTCACCAGGGTGGAGTCCTCGTGAATGGAATTAGTGCCCTTTTAAGAGTCCAGAGAGAGCTTGCTTTTCCCTGCTAATTGCCATGTGAGGGCACGACAAGAAGATGGCTGCCTGCAATCCAGGAAGTGGGTCCTCACCAGACGTCAGTTCTACCAGCCTCTTGATCTTGGATCGCTCAACCTCCAGAACTGTGAGATAAATGTCCTGTAAGCCACCCCATCAGTAGTCGTTTGTTATAATGGCCCACTTTGACTAAGCTCCTGAAAAAATGTCTCCCTCCCATTCTTCTCTTTTTTTTTTTTAAAGATTTTATTTATTTTTTTGACAGAGAGAGACAGCGAGAGAGGGAACACAAGCGGGGGAGAGGGAGAAGCAGGCTTCCCGTGGAGCAGGGAGCCCGATGCAGGGCTCGATCCCAGGATCCTGGGACCATGACCTGAGCCGAAGGCAGACGCCTAACGACTGAGCCACCCAGGTGCCCCTCATTCTCTTTACACCCATCATTCATCCACTGCAGGTACTCAGAGGCAGTCCGTGTTGGTGAACTTCAGGCGATGTCGCTGTTGGTCCAGGCCTTGTTTATGTGTCTTCCTGTAAGGACCCACAGTTCTCTCCAGGAAACAGCACTTCGGTGGCACATAGCAGTGTATTTTGGGGGCAGCTAGGGTGCCGGTCTTCGTTCTCTGTTGTTCCCAACTGCCTGTATCCTTAAGTATGGAATTGAACATGGCTAGATACTGTGTCCAGTCCCACCTCAGTGACTGAAAATCACTGTTGTATAATTCCATAAGTGATACATGTGCTTCGTAGAATCAAGGTAGAGGAAGTATTTCTCCATATTACTTTAATTATAATTCTTAAAAAGTGCCTTTGGAATCTCAAGATACCCCTTTCATTAAAAAATACTCGAATGCTTTTTTTTTTTAAGATTTTATTTATTTATTTATTTGAGAGAGAGAGAGAGACAGAGCATGAATGGGGGCAGAGGGAGAAGCAGGCTCCCCGCCGAGCAGGAAGTCCGTTGTGGGGCTTGATCTCAGGACTCTGGGATCATGACCTGAGCCGAAGGCAGACGCTTAACCCACTGAGCCACCCAGGTGCCTCAAGACTCGAGTCTTAAAAGTGAAATATTAAGTGTTTTAAGGAAGGAGGGGAAGGGGAATCGGTTGCAATAAGTTGGGAAGCACCTGAGTATATGATTGCAGATTGTGATAAAGGCCTTGATGGGGACGGTCAGGACTTCATATGTTAGCATCCTAGGGACTTTTTTTCTCAGTGCCTACAGACATCCTTTCACTTCTATTACCTTAAAACAATTCTGCCCTGTGTCTGTGTCACTTTTGTCTACTGTGCTGTCCTCACCCAACATGAGAAGGAAAAGCGCCCACCAGGATGCATCAGAGAGGAGAGAGGACACAAAGCAGTCCAAAACAGTGCAACCTGCAGGGTAGGGGAGGGCAGAGTGAGGGGCTGGACGACACTGATGGGCAGGGCTGCTTTGGGTTTGAAAGACTGTTTCATCATTTCCTCTTGACCCATCTTCAAAGAGGGAGAGATGGAGGTAATTGGGTAGGCAACAACTTCTGGACGAGAATTTAGTGGCTTTGCTTGTGACACACAGAATTTACAGCCTTGAGAAAGCTTAATTAGATTAAGCGAGTCAGTGGTGTGTGCTCTTTGCTCTGTGGTCGAATAGAATTTCCAGACCACATGTTCAGACTGTTCCTGTTACTTGGTGGCATTTTAACTGCTCTGGTCCATTAAACACAGGTAATGGTTTGTTTTGAGTAAAGATTAAATTCTGATAGGCTCTGTTTCTGCAGAAATATTTATATTTAGGATAATGGAATTACTGGCTGTAATTTTTCCAAAATAGATGATGAATAATATTTATATTCTTTGTTATCCCAGATTATCCCTGATTCAATCCTAGAGAAAATACTTGTTTCATCATCCAATGTTTGTTTAGTGCTCTATCCTACTGAGTGCATAAATGCAGGGGCTGTGCAGAAATAGAGGGAGAGATCTACAAGCCACGTGTTTTCTGTTTAGTTTGTTTTGCTTTGTTTTAATGGAGGCTGTGAATACTGAGCTGGGTTTTATTTTATTTCTTTTATTTTATTTCTTTTTTTATTTTATTTCTTTTAAAGATTTTATTTATTATTTGAGAGAGTGAGCGAGAGAGAGCATGAGCAGTGGGGAGGGAGAGGGAGAGGGAGAAGCAGAGGGAGAGGGAGAAGCAGACTCCCCACTGAGCGCAGAGCCTGATGTGGGGCTCAGTCCCAGGACCCCGAGATCATGACCTGAGCCGAAAGCAGACACTTAACTGACTGAGCCACCCAGGCGCCCCTGAGCTGGGTTTTAAGGAAGAGAGGGTTCACATGGTGTGCTGAAAGAGAGAAGAGACAGACGCCACGTAGAATAGTCCAGGAGGGAATGAGAAGGCTAACGTGGAGATAGGTAGGTAACTTCCCATTGGTCCCCTGGTCCTGAACTGCCCTCAAGGGCCACCTTGGAGACAAGGACCACCTGCCAATAGAATAGTGGAGAGTGAGGGGATCAGGTAGGTACCTTCTTGAGTATGTGATTAAAAAAAGTTTTAAGACCCTTTCCATATTTTATTTACATTTTAAGACTAACTTTAATTTCCAAATCATATATGTATACATATTTCCTTTTTGTTTTTAAAGATTTATTTGAGAGGGGGAGGGGCAGAGGAAGAGAGAATCTTAAGCAGACTCCACACTGAGCGCAGATCCCGACGCAGGGCTCCATTCCACATCCCTGAGAACAGGACCTGAGCCGAAACCAAGAGTTATTAGCTGCTTAACCGACTGTGCCACCCCGGCGCCCCAACATACTTCGTTCTTATTAATTTCATTTAAACTTAAATGGATGGTTTACTAAACATTGTAAACAAATAATTACCCTGTCTGTTACATGTAGCACAGGAATGACTTTTAACAGTAATTCATCAACCTCCCTCAACTTTTTAAAATTATAAATGCAGTAAAAACGATCCTGAGTATATTTTTGATACTACTGGTAGCCAGCATCCACATCATTTCCCAAAATTAACAGTTTGTGACTTTAAACAATTTAAATGGCAGCTCTTTTGCTAAGCAAGATGGATAAAGCAGGCCACTTCTGTTTTTTCTTCTTGCAGTTTTTAGTTTTAAGAAACACACGAGCTTCCACGGCATCTGACATTCTCACTGTGCTTTCATCTTGTAAACCTGGATTCTATTATTAATACTCGGAAGTTTATGCTTACATGACGGTGCCTTAGCAAGAGAAAAATAAATTGTACTGCAATTTTCTTCCTGTTACCTGAAAACCTAATGGGCTTGCATGTATTAACTATATTCTTACAAACGTCTGAGTCATGTGTACCAGCTGGAATTCTTTTACTTAGTGTGCAGATATTTTGCGTCATGATATTTAATCAGGAAGGCAACAGGAATAGAAGGTTGCTGATTTAAGAGATCCAGTCAAATTAGTTCTTGTGTCTTTGTCCTTCTCGTGGCCGTAGAAACTTCATCTCTTCTTTGGACATCACTAGATACTATAGCTCTTGAAGTCCAACTTCAGTGCTCTATGAATTGTGCCATTTTGCTCACAGTGGCATCCACCATACCACCATACCATAAAATTATTTATTTTCCCATTAATTTTTCTTACAAATCTAACTGATAGAGGAGTGTCTGAGTATTTAGGTTCACATTTGACTTTCAGGCTGTATATTGTTTTTGTGTCTTGTCTGAGAAGACTGTCAGCTTCTTTGCGACTTCGAGGTAGCCTAACTTTGTGGCCTGTATAGCTCTTGGAAATTATGATTAATCTTTACACATGAATTGCTACTTTCATACTTCTATGGAAGAGTGCTTCCCAGGCATTTAGATTTTATGCTGGAGGAGTAAATTAAAAAAAAAAATTAGGGGTATCTGGGTGGCTCAGTCGGTAAAGCATCTGACTCT